AAAAAGAGAGAGAGAGAAAGAAAACTTTTTCCTAGGTTTTCAAGTTACTTTTGTGTGCAAACATTTCTCTCTCATTGTCAGTTATATCGTGGATTATATAGGAAACGATAAGAGATATATAAAGAAACGTAATAGAGCTTGCTTTTATTTCGCGTTGCGTTCCACATTTACGTGTAATAAATTTTAATTAATGAGCGGTTTCATTTGTATAATCTTTCAATATAAAAACATTCCTTGTTTAAATAAATTGTTTTTATACCTTTTCACAAATATGCTTAACATTTGATTTCAACTATGAAAAAAACACACTTGATTTAATCTAATATAAACAATGTTCAGCAACACGTATATAACCTTGTGGTGCACCTGCTGGATCAACAATCGCGACAAGTACCATACAGTTATCATTAACAATGAGAAAAGTTTATCGTGAAAAGTTTATCTTGAAAACTATTAAGATTAAAATTAAAATATGATGTACTATCCTACACAAAATAATTACAGATAGAAAATAATTTCTTAATATTACAAAATTTATTCACTCATTCTTTGAAATTATCGAGTTTCTTTCGTCGAACAAAGGAATAGAATATTTTTCATCTCGATAAATTTATATATTCGGTAAACTAGACTTGATAAGCAAAAAAACACAATAGATGCTTATCTATATAGTATATCGTATACCGTTAATGTATACCATTAAGCAAAATGTGAAATGTGTTAAAAGAATACGTAAAAACGTATAGATATTATACCTACTGTGTTGAAAAAGTGTAAAAAAAAAAAAAAATTCAGAGACATGCTTAATGGGGCTTTATAACAATAGAGATTGAAAAATTGACCTTGTTTAGAGTTAGGAATTTTCACATACGCATTTCACTCTTTTCACTTTTTTTGTTCGTTCGTATTTTCGAATCAGAATCCCGCAATCGCCAGTGAAGAACTTTCGAAAAACTTTTGATCTTTGATTAAACCTGCATTGTTTCGAAGGTAAATCCTTCCCTTATACCTTATACCCTTCGTCTTACCTTTTGAACGCCTTTCGATGTGCTCTCCGCATTTGATGCACTGAATGGATGAAAAACACACTTTATCGCGACCGACACATTTCATCCGCGACGATTTACGAAAGAATAAAGTACTCACACAGCATTCCGGCGATTACACGACACCATGAAAAATGAATGAAACGTGATGAAAACGAACACACCCCATTCACGGCATAGCACAACGTAGACTGCGAAGAACTGCAAATTTCAAACGGAAAATTGACTTGGTCGATTGGCCATCAGCAATTGGTCGATTGGCGCGCGCTTTAACACTCAATCAACCAATCTCAGGTCCCCTGCCTCCGCACGTTGCGCGCGTTACATACGACATGCGCTTGCAAGTATGTATGTACATTATTATGGTAAATAGCTATAGGTATGTTCTTTTCCATTCTATCGTATCGTTTCTTCCGTTTCCTTTAATTATACACAGATATTTGTCCTTTCGAAATATACGCGCAGTATATCAGTTATTCCACTTTTATTTTATTTTTATATTCTCTCTAATCGCTCAATTACCTTCCACGTGTCGCTTCAGAGATATACCTATATATTATATATTTTCACTCGCATTACTCGTATTAAAATGAGTGCAGTTGGAAAAAAAAGCGTATTTATACGTTTCAATTTTTTTCAACGTCTCAAATTTTTCTACGTAGTTCGTAGAATAATTGAACAAGCGTACGTGTGGTTGCGTGTATAGTGGAAAAGAATCGCGGAAAAAGCAAGATCGCAACAAGTGTTAGACAACATTATATCTTTCGTTTCTCCTCTTTTTCATTACCGTGTTATATATTTTATCATCACGCACGTGCAAAAAAATGTGTATGTGTAGTGTGTATGCAGTGATGGGAATAAATATGTATATATAAGATGTATAGGATATGCAAAATTAAACTTATCGAAATATCATACCGCGGTTTTTCACTGTCCCCGTTAAGAAGTCACTAATTTAATAGGCACGTTATCTCGTAACGCACAGTTCGTTACAATACTATGCGCTGTTTACGAGGAACATATTTTATCACAGTTGCCGCGCGTCAGAGTTATCTCTGTTAAATATTAACTATACTAATAAAGCACCGTCTTACGTGTGTAAGTCTAATATGCTCTTCTCGCGGAGAATACTCATCCTTTTCATCAAGGCCGACTAACGAATAAACTCATTTCTAGCTCATCATCTCTCTCTCTCTCTCTCTCTCTCTCTCTCTCTCTCTCTCTCTCTCGTTGTATGAATTTATAAACACAACTTTTTAATAAAATTGTGTAAGAAACATATTGCATATATGTATAACATATGGGTCTTTATTGTACGCGCGCTATACGCGATCGTGATACATATGTGTGTGTCTCTATTATTTTTAAGCTTAAAAAGTTACATCACTTGGCTTACCTCATTGTGCAAGTTGTTTATGTATATATGTATGTGCACATTTAAGACCATCGCACACAAAATGCATAGCTTTGCATAAGCGTAGCATTAAGGGTCGACAGGAGTCACACGGCCGAAGCCGAATTCTAAATTGGCACGGTGGAGACCTCTGTCGGGGGTTGGCTTGGCTGCGAGTCCGTATTTTATTTATTACAAATTTTTATTGCATTTTTGCTCTTAAAAATTTATGATAAATAAAATACGGACTCGCAGCTAAGCCAACCCGACAGCAGAGGTCTCCACCGTGCCAATTCCGAGTTTGCCTGATGATGAGTCTCCTGCTGCCGACCCTTAAGGCCATCGCACACAAAATTGCATAGCTTAAGGTAAATCCAGACAAACTTGCGCATAGCGCATAAGGAGAATAATCGACTGTGCGTGGTCTATTTTCTTACGGCCTTACGCGTATGACTTAAAACTTTGTTACGTGCAATGGCCTTAAGAAATCAACGGTATGGCGTCGCTACCGCTTTAGGGCCGTGCCTCAAGTTCTTGACTGTGCGTGGCTGATTTGCTTACTGCTCAAGTTTTTCCATGTGCCACGGCCTTAGGGCCGGTCTACAATGGGTGTCGTAAGTCGTAAAGCGTAAGACTTGACCACGGACAGTCTATTATTCTTCTTGCGGTTGAAGAATAATGAACTGTGCGTGGCCACGTCTTACGATTTACGACTTACGACACCCATTGTAGACCCCGCATAAGGGCCGGTCTATAATGGGTGTTGTAATTCGTAAATCGTAAAATGAGGAGCACACACTTCTGCATAACGCATACGGCGTAAGCATAAGAAAACTGCGTGGTCCATACACATGTGCCGAAGGAACGAGACCACGCAAGTTTCTTATGCTTACGCTGTATGCGTTATGCAGAAGTGTGTGCTCCCCGCTTAAGACGTGACCACGCACAGTTCATTATTCTTCGACCGCAACGAGAATAATGGACTGTGCGTGGTCACGTCTTACGACTTACGACTTACGACTTACAACACTCATTGTAGACCAGCCCTAAGAGATATGGGTGTGTGTGTACATACGTGTGTGTACATACGTGACAATGGAAAATTGGAGCACGTTTTAAAATCATACATCTTTTAACAATTCTTACCGATATATAAAAAGAGTATAAAAGAGTTAATCTCGCAATATATACATATACTCATTTCATATGTTGTTATCCTTATCCTTTTCATCGATTGGTTTTTGTTGAAAAATTGGTAATACTTGAGGAGAGCTCCCTCCTCACCGATTTCGCTGACGTTAGGCTTAATCGACGCGTTTTTGCACAAAACGAACGAATCTGGCAGAAAAAAGTCCCGCTCTGCCCCGCGAAGCAAGATATTAACTGTTAAAGTTGACGACTATCAGGTATGAAACCTGTCATACCGACGAATCATATTACTGTGTTTCGTTAATCTCAACGCTTACCTAATATCTATAACAGAAATACGTTGTTAAAGCAGAGAGAATAGTTGATATATGAAAAAGTACATATTTATGCACGTAATAAATAATAAAATTTAATATATTGTTTTCAAGTTTGTGGTTTTGATTACAACAGAGAATATTTTAAAACACAAATTATTTCTGTTACAGATATTAAGCGTAAAAGTTAACGAAACAGAAATAAAATTGTTAAAGCAGAGAATAGTTGGTATGAGAAGTACATATTATGTATTTTATTATGTACATATTATACCAACTATTCTCTGCTTTAACAACGTATTTCTGTTAAAGCGTTTAAGTTAACGAAACATAAATAATTTGTTAAAGCAGAGAATAGTTGGTATATGAAAAGTACACATAAATATGTACTTTTCATATATCAACTATTCTCTGCTTTAACAACGTATTTCTGTTACAGATATTAAGGGTTGAAATTAACGAAACACAGTAATATGATTCGTCGGTATGACAGGTTTAATACCTGATAGTCGTCGACTTTAACAGTTAATATCTCGTTTCGCGGGGCAGAGCGGGACTTCTTTCTGCCAGATTCGTTCGTTTTGTGCAAAAACGCGTCGATTAAGCCTAACGTCAGCGAAATCGGTGAGGAGGGAGCTCTCCGTAAGTATTACCCTTTTTTAATTGCACGGTCAAACGATGGTCACGTGGTGAAGAATGTATCACAACTTTGCATTTTCGGAGCACTATTTCTCAAGATAAAGAATAGAAAAACAATAAACACGGACCTTTAAAGTTTAAGTGTGTGCGCGCGCGAGCGCATATAATGTATGCAATGTACATATACATATATCCAATATCTCATCCAAGTATGGTTAGTAAGATCATGAATATAACAAAAATTAAATTATATTATTAAAATAAATAAAAATAGTAATAAATTAATAAGAGTCACGGATAATTTTAGTTTAGTTTGGGTTTTATAGGTTTAGGTTTAGGTTTAGGTTTAGGGTTAGGGTGGGTTTAGGTGAAAAACCGTGACGCCGTGACGTCGTGTGACGTCGTGACGGGGAGCAATTGACAATTAATACGGCTCATTAGTAATCGACGGGCTCGATCCGCTCGATGGGGATAACGATTTATTGTCTCATTGACGCGCGTAACGTCAAGCTTGACGTCGAATAGCAGGAAATGCCAGTTTTGTGCTCGATAATGCAGTAGATATCGCGACCGCCTCTGCAGTAGCGAGTAGCTCGGAGGCTCGGAGTACCTAGCGTGTAGCGTCGTCGCTCTCGCGCTCGCGGGTGACGTGACTGACGTCGTGGTCGTGGATATGGATTAGCCAGGATTAACGCGGACAAAGGCGTCAATCTAATCTCTAATCGTTTGAATGGTTCGAATTGAATTTTTGATATATGTATGTATATATATATATATATATATATATATATATATATATAAAACAAAAATTAATTATAACGTGTATTAAAATATTTTGCATAATAACGGAAACGTTAATCAAACCTGCAGTATATATTTTGAAAATTAATGAAAATAATAATATTCAAGAAAAGTAAGAAAAAAACGAAAGATGGTAAAGAAAATCTAAAAGAAGACAACGCGCGCGCGCATTAAAATAAATTAAATTAAAATAGGATAGGATAGGAAACGTAAATTATAAAGCTATAAGTACGTATTTATATACGTATATAATAAAATAAATACTGAAAAAAAAATAAGATGAATATATGCTTAGAGTCGTTGAAATTTGTATGATAAAACCCGTAAATTATAGAAATACTGTCAAGTTTATCTTGGAATTTGGGATCATCGCGTAGAAGTAATCGACCCGCGTCGAGAACTTGAAAGGAAAGTCCAATTTTATAAGTAAAATATGTTTTGCGAAATTGCACTTTTGTAAGACACCGAGAAAATCTATTTATTCTGGATTTTTCGGATAGGAAAATATAATATTGAAATTGTAACGTTACGCACAGAGTAAGTACATACTTATATAATCTTTAACATTTGAAAGACCATAATATATAGATATACATATATGTATATAAATTATAGAGATAAAGTAATTATAATTTCATAATCGGCATACATTCGATGAAAATAATCAGTTTTTGAGTTTAATAAACAAATATTTATTAAGTTAAAAAAAATTAAGTTTTATCCGTTTTTCTTCAGTAACTCGCTTATTTTTTTGACAGGAACTAGACAACTAGACCGTATTTACGATAAAAACCAGAAAGTACCTTCAACCTTATGACGCAGTGACGCTCGATTTAAGGGAAGATTACAACAAGTGGTTCCATTATGGTATCTTATCACGAATCATTATTTCTATTATTTGCTCCTAGTCGGTACGATACTTAAATACATTTTCCATGTTATTTACTTCTCTGGGAAATATAGCGATCACACACATCACACACGTACGTTTCGTCGGAGTTGTCTATGATCGCCCGAAAAAGAGCACGAACGAAATTAATGTACGTGTCTTGTTCGCGATTATTATATTCTAATGCGGTAAAAAAAATACCTACTTTCTCCATTATCAGGTTCGTTGTAGAATTCTTCGTATCCTGTGTGTGGATTTTTTACACGCGAAAAGGCTTACTCTTGCAAGGCCGTCTTTACGTAGATTTGGGAGAGGGTGTAACTTGGAAATTTATCTGAAAGAATGTATCTGGTCTTGCACGTGCGAGTAACGATCATCATTCGTAGACAGGTCAACTATATGTTGTACATATATTAGCATGTTTGTGAAATCGTTGGTCGTTGGTCGCGGACATTGCATTTTTTTCGTGTTTCGCCCACGTCGTATTTGAGTATAAGATACGCGGTATCGGGAAAATGTAATACGATAAAAGCACAAAACTTGACGTACATCGACGTACATGACGCTCCTTATTGCGTTTGCCAAGTGTGCCAAGTTTGTCCAATATAGGAGATGAACGACATTTTTGTCGTTCGCTATTATACCCGACGTCCAAGTCGCGCTTAATCGTTCAGCTACAATTAAACCATAAAATAATTATTATTATTCGAGAAAAGATACAATTACGAGTAGAGTCGCATTACTCGCTATATTGTGTATTCGCAAGTTATTTGAACTCGCGTTTGGCTAATTTTACCATTTTAATTATACGGTCACAATTATAAATATCTGCGTTGAAAAATTGAAAGGATCGGAGGACTTGTTCCAACGAGCGCGCGCTCAGGCACGAGGCGGAATATAAAATTGCAAAAGGACTGGAAGGATATCTGCCGGTGCTGCCGGTAATGGGGCGCAGGGAGCAGAGAGCTAGCTGAGATCTCTCTAATCTCCCAAATTGAACACGATATTGATTCGTGATTGTTGTAACGCGGAAAAGTATCGTCTCGATCTAATTAACCGTAATAGCTAACCGTAATAGCTACCTATCCCGGGCGGGACAATTATAATTCGCATTTCATAATCGAGTCACACGCAAAGCAGGGTCCTTAAGGATCTTATTAGCTAACAGCGCTGCGAGGGAAGACCAAGTGGATTGATCAAGCGGACAGGAACGGAGCTTGGTCATCCTGGAACGTGGTGGTGGGCCCTCGTTTGGTGAATTCTCGACGGTTAGGTTTCGTTCGATTTTCCTTCCAGTCAACAAAATCCTTAATCGTCTGTTATAGTCGCGAGCAGAATATCGATTTTGGAGAATTTTGACGATAGACTGGACGTTCAACACACTCACACTCTCTCTCTCTCTCTCTCTCTCTCTCTCTCTCTC